TTTTAATTTTTTTTAAATTTTTTTTATTTTTTTATTTTATTTTATTTTATTTTATTTTATTATTTTTTTTAGTTTCAGCAATCTATTTTTCTTTTTCAATTACTCGATCTGCTAGCTCTTTTGCATGTTGGTTGATTCGAGACTAATTTGAGAGCCCCTTTCGTTGGCTTCTTCAGCGGCCTTCATAGCTTGGAAAATGTCATCAGGAATGTTATCTGGGAGTGGGAAATCTGGGCATTCCGGAATTGGGTTGTTATCCGAACAAACATAGCAATCTTCTTCTTCACAATGCCAAAAACCGAAGTGAGATGATTTCATTCTCAATTTTTGAATATTGTAGTGTATCACTTTTAAGATGTGTGTTGTAATGTTCTAATGCATCACGTTTAAGATGTATGTTCGTTCGTTGCATATTTATAGTGGGAAACCTACATAAAAGTACTGATTGAAAGAACAAATTTACTGTTCAGAAAAACAAAATATTATGCATAGTAGAAACTAGCAGTCAAATTTCATTACGAAGGAGAGAATTTCGCTTAATATAGAAATGTTCATCACAAAGTGCAATTCCGCTTAAAAACAAAACAATTACAATCTTCAAATATTATATGCTTACATAGGGACTTAAAACCACAATCTTAGGTTACTCCACATCTATTATTTAAAAAGATAAGTAGTAGCAAATAATAGTCAAGTAGGATTACAAAGGGATTAAAACGACCATCAATGGCTCTGGTATTTCTCATTATGCAGGTGGAACAACGTTCACATTTCTAGTCTGGTATATAGTTCCAAAAACATCAGCCTGATAATATATTTGAACCATATCGGTTAATTCCGTGTTGTTTGTATAACGTGCTACAGCAATAGCATGACCACAGGCTATACCCAGACTGTATCATTTCCCACAAGAACATGTGTGTCGGTTAAGATCTATAACACATGTTCTTTTTAGATTAAAAAATCCAAGAAATATCAGAAGGGAATGGAGACGGGATCTCAGGTGGAATTTTAGTCGCTTTCCATCCTAGAGACTTTTGCATCCTCTTGTGAAGGACCATCTCTGCATAAGGGGTGAATACGATGCTCAACAACCATGAAAAGTAAAAAGATAATCAATTATGTATATTTTACTGGTTTAAAAAGGTTGATACATTACCTCTTATGACATTGTGTTCTGCAAACGTCTGTTGGATGTACTGCACGATTGTATCAATTAGCGATATTATCGGTACATTGCGTTACGTAACCGATAACACCAATAGGAATTCTGGAATATTAATGTTTAGTACATTCCAACGTATATTAGGGAAATAGGCCCGTGCCCATTTCTTATTTCTGATGTTGGCAAGAACCTCACGTGCAACATGGCTTAACTTAGTAAATGATTGTTTAAAATCTTGCGTAGTATATGCTTTGCATTCACGGAAGAACAAGTAGTCTAAATTTTTGCTATGATCGATTCTTAAGCGACAATAAATCAACACACTCTTAGACGAATAACCATGATAGGCATCAGGGAATACCTGACCCACATAGGAAGAAATGGTATTGTCCATATCTGTTATGAACACAACTTCCCTACCCTCCCCGATAACATCCTTCAACCTCATAAGGAACCAAGTGCAAGAGTTAACATTATTTGCCACCCCAATACCAAATGCTATTGGCGTAGTGTTGTTGTTTCCATCTATAGCAACTGCTACGAACATTGAATTAAGATAATCTCCTAGAATTCGAACATTGCCTATAAAAATGATTGGAAGCATGCATCCTAAGAATGCGTTGATCTATTTCATATTTTTTACAGCACAATTAATAGTTTTTTAACTAATATAAATCTTTGTAGCACAAAAAATAAACAAATCGCAAGTACATTACCACACATCGAATAGCGACAAAACATAGTTGGAACCAATCCAAAACATCGGTTTTGATTTAAGTGTAACTATCGGGATTTATACGTTGAATGTTGTGTAGGTAAACATGCAAGTTAGTAAAGCTTTCTTCATGGTCATTGTATGAGAAACTCATGTTTAGTGTTGACGAGTTAAACACAAATTTAACGATAAGGATGATTTAAATCAATACCTATAAAATAATGGGGTAGTCAACACCTAGAAAGTAGTAATCAAACGCTAGTGGATAGTAGTCAACACCTATAACACGGTAGTCAAATTACAATCATATGTTCGAATTTTACTCTACGATAAGACAACACATACAGTAGTAGTCAAACGCTAGTAGATAATAGTCAACACCTATAACACGGTAGTCAAATTACAATCATATGTCCGAATTTCACTGTACGATAAGACAACACATAAAGTAGTAGTCAAACACTAGTAGATAGTAGTCAACACCTATAACACGGTAGTCAAATTACAATCATATGTTCGAATTTTACTGTACGATAAGACAACACATAAAGTAGTAGGCAAACGCTAGTAGACAGTAGTCAATACCTATACAATAGTAGTCGAATGGCAGTATATAATCCCTTGACGATATATATTTACCTATCAACACTAACAAAAATTTACTTCTCACAAACCAAAGAAATGACAATTTGCAATTGTGGGGCTCAAGGTATTATAAGGACGTCAAGAACTACCAACAACCCTGGACGGTTGTTTTACGCTTGTCCTAAGAGGTATTTGGGCTGTACTGTAATTATTTATATTATAATTTTTTTACCGAATATTTAAACAATATACATAAGTTTTTTTGATATTTATTTATCAGCCACCACAGGCTGGGTTTATTTGTTGGGTGGATGAGGCAAAAGACAGTACTTCGATGGTAATTTCTAACTTAGCTCGATCGAAGAAGAAACTTCAAAGAAAAATACTGCATTTGAAGATAGCATTACTATTTAGTTGGATTTTCTTTTTTGGTGTAGTTATCTACAAGTTGTAAAATGTAAAATGTAATGTATGTTATTATTTGTAATGGTTTGTGTTTCCATCTATGATAACTTGTTATGCTATTCTTTTAATATTGTTTTCTACTAGTTGTAATCTTTTTTTTTTTTTTTTTTTTTTTTTTTTTTTTTTAAAACTGTAGAACACATGTTGTTTAAAAATAAAACAAACATGATTTATGGAATATCAAATATTTATTTCTTCATATATAATTTAGACTTAAGGAAGGGATGTTCTAACATGGAATATCAAAATAAAACAAACATGATTTATAGAATATCAAATATAATTTCGTCACATGTCGTTTCACTTGTAACATTTTTAATTTTACATCTTTTTTGGTCCAGTAATAACCTCGACCCATTTCATAATGAAACAAGTGAAACACGTGACTCCAAAAAGAACCGATACGACCTATTCTGCTAAATACATTGTTTGACATTAAAACACATTATAGGTATCTAGTTTACGATACAACACTCAATCAAATATAATTATTTGAAATTAACATAATTAGATTAGTAAACATAAGTAAACCAAATACTCTTACATATTTTTTTTGTTGAACAACCACAAATAAAAAGCAAAGGTACAGATATATTACCTAAAAATCAAAAATAAAAGACATACATATACATATATTCTACCTTAAAATTACTTCAAACAACAAGCAAACTATTAAAATATTACTGATGTTCTTCCCACAACGGAAACTCGTAAGGATACTCTTTTTTCATAGCAATGACTTCCTTTTTTTTTCTCCAAATAGTACTCACGAAGTTCTATTTCAGTCATTAGCTTTCGAAAAATTTCTTCACTAGAGCGGATCGAACTCTCGGCAGATTGGATTATTTCCCTAGTTCATATAATCAAATTCCTTTTACGATCAATTTCATCCCAGTAGTTGTCTACAAGGTTTCGTTGGAAACGATAATCTTCAAAAGCCTTATCCACATCAGCTTCTCTTTGTAACAACACTTTTTTCACTTCCTCATCCATCTTCTCCCCTAATATAGGATGATTGATATGGGGAAGGGGATTTGTTGAAACGTTATGGGAATTTGACTCCAAAGGAGGCTTATTGTTGGACGTAGATGGCCAATTAAATTTTGCCAGGATCCTTTTCATCTCCTCTGATCTTTCTGTCATTTTCACACTACAATTTTTTTTTTTGTATTGTTTCTTTGATTTCTGAATTGATAAGAAATGTATATTAAATATTACATTAAATAGTAGTCAACGGCTAGAAGATAGTATTCAAAACCTATAGAAAATAGTCACTCCAATAAAATAGTAGTCAAAGACTAATAGAAAGTAGTCAAAACCAATAAAAAGTAGTCAAATAACAATGATGTGTCGAAACTTCATTGTACCATATGACTACACATGAGGTAGTAGCCAATGGCTAGTAGACAGTAGTCAAATCCTATAAGAATGTAGTCAAATTACAATAATGTCTTGGCACGATATGGCAACACCTGATATAGTAGTCAAAACCTATTTGACAGTAGTCTAAGCCTATAAAAAAGTAGTTACACTGTCAATTAAATGTATGCGTCTGAGATTTACAAATAATATATTAGTGGTTAATCTGTAACCCTCATACACATACAATCATGTCCACCTCTCAATAAAAATGGTGGTTGATGCCACAAGAGAAGCGATTGCAAATGTTAACAAAAGAAGAAGAGATCAAGAACGAGATTAAAGGCATTGAAGAAGATAGGAAATGGTTGGATAAATTACAAGCCGATATTTGGTCTAAAATGAGGTCGGTTCAAGACAAAGAACGCGAGATAAAAACTGCAAGGGATTGGGTACGAGATGCAATTGACTACGCCAACAAAGAAGAGGTTAAAATGAAAAAGATTCTCAAAAATATACAAAAAAATTACGAATGGATGATTCAAGAAAAAACAAAATTTCCAAATGATTTTCAAGATGTTTGAATTTAATAATTCTTGATTAATCAAGTAGTAAGTTTATGCATTTTTATGAGTTTATTTATGTAACAAGTTTTATATTTGCTTGTTTATTATGATTAATCGATATAATATGTACTATTCTCTTTATAGTTTATTTAAGTTTAATAATTAGGGGAAATTTTGTTAAGTAATCGTCATCAAACAGTACACATTGAATGTCACTAAAAACATACAACTTGAACTGACTCAAAATCGATTGTATAGAAGATCCATAATATATCATGGCCATCCTATAACGAAACTGAGTAGCAGCAACAACAAGTGCCATCGATATACCAATTGGTCGACCTGAAACAAGCTGCTCCATGAACATCAACATAAATACACCGCACTCTCCATACATCCCCTCTTGTTGGGGTACGTCCGTAACATCCGTAACAGTGATGGATGCTTTCTGAACAGGCAAACCCATGTGGTTCCAATACTCAATTTTCACTAGAATGCGGTCCATAAGCTCTTCAAACCGAACAAAATCAATAATCTTCACGGCGCCAAATAATCGAAAGCTGTCGTACAAATTCAATGGCAACGTGTCCATCCATAACTCGCCAAGTACCCAATGATGTGGGTTGATGCATATTGGAAAGTAAACCTGTTTTAACACATAACCGTTGCAATTAATTACAATTAAATTCACTAATAATATATATTATTTCTTTAATTACACGGTCAACTTCCAGCAAATATTTACATCCATCCAATGGGTCAAATGGATTTCCCGTTGCACTTCCTGCCCACTAGAACATCTCAAATGCACCAAAAAATGACGATGACATGATTGTCCATCGAGCATCGTTCGGTCTCTGCTCATTCAAAATCCTTCCCCATAGGTCAACATGCTGCATTTAAATTTAATTTAAACATAAGTATCCTATAAAATTTTTATATTATAAATATAAAGGAATGTCTTCATACCGCTTCATCTAAAAATCCCATGTCACTTGCATAAAAAAGTCGATCCCAAAACCTTGCTTCCATTTTTTCATTGTATAACCGATGTTTCAAAAAAATAGCTGGTTTGTTTCCCATGTATAGAGCATGAGCATTACAACCCGGATTCACATACGGCTCCAATAAAAGTGCCGAGGGATCGCTGACAAATACAGGGGGGGGGGGCGGTTGTTCGTTGGGTATTACCCCGCCTGTACGATATCGGGTGGCATTTTGAACCTACATTATATACGTAGTCAATAACTATCCATATAGTAATAAAACTATAGTAAATATGATTTTTACCATACTTACCGAAACGTAAGGAGAACTAAGATATTGAGAAGGTTTCAATTGCCTAACCGGACGACCTTCTTTAACAACAGGCTTGAGTATATGATTTTCCGCATCCGCAATGTCGCTAGCAACAACCTCCTTCTTTTTCTTTTTCTTCTACAAAAAACATATTCATTTTTTTTAATATACTTTGAAAAAATAAAAAGTTTAATATACAAAACAAAAAAAAAATAACCTCCTTCGCGATTTGTTTTCTAGAATCATACTCTTGTGGATTACCAACATGAGCATCCTCGTTAATTCGATTTGATTTTTGTGGACTATATATCACATCCTCATTCCCCTACATTTAAAGAAAAAATAATTAATAAAAATCATCGTTAAAAATTAAATAATACATCATATATATTTAAATTGATAGTAATACCTCAAAAACGTCATTAAAAAACTGTTCCAAATCATCACCGTCTCGAGTTCCACGTTTCTTTTTCAATCCTCCGATTTCTTCCTCCAAAGATTCAAGTATTGCCATTATTTCTCGCGCGGTGTTTTTGTTAATTTCCACCGTATGAGTTCGCTCGGTAGACTAGGAAAGTTGGCTGTTTCCACAGCTTGTTTTTGACGAAGATACCCCCTACATAAATTTTTTCATATATGAATAATACTTGAAAATTTTTATTTTACTAAATTATGATTTTACAAATTTACTTACATTATTTCTAAAGTTGTAGTGTATAGAAGAAGGGACTTTAGACGATTCACAATTCAGACTTGTAATATATAACAGATAATGTGGAGTAGAGGCCTCAACATCTGAGGCAATCATCTAGTTTTTTTTTTCGGTTGATGCGCCTCGTCCCGATCAACATCGAAAAGATCGTAGACTTTCGCCCAAGTTAACCTCCTAATATGAAACCAGCGCAATATACGGGGATATAAATAATTGTGTTGTATCGCACAATTTCCCCGGATTGCTGGAAACATCTCTCATATCCATATCTTGTAATAAATATACGTTAATTTATAAGTGCTAACAATAACTAAAATTGAAAAAAAAAACTGATAAATTATTAACTATATTTTTTAATTAGTTAAATTTACCTTCAAAGGAATAACAAAACCCAATATTGTGTGCACAATTGCTTTTGTTGGATGGTTGGACATATGATCCTCAAATTTCTTAAACATACCCGACAATTTAGGGTATGTTTTACTCCATAGATAACTCCCCCACAAGAACCTATATTATAAGAAAAAAGTATTATTTAAACGTATAATAATTAGTATTTTATTATAAATATAAAATTGACAAATACCTATTCCATTGATTCAGGTTCTCCACCACCCGTAAATATTCCTTGGTGACTTTATCATTAAGCTCCTTTTCCAAAAAACCGTGAGTGAGGATATATAGCAAAATGGCACGGACACCGTCTTGAGCTGATATGTCATTGAATCGTTGGTTTAAGATAAGGAGTTCTAAATCTTCTACAACTAAAGAAGTGTTCGTGCGATATGGGAAGACTCTGGACCGAATTGTATTTTCACCATATCCGTGTTTATACATGGTTGAAAATTCGATCCTTGATTTAGGACACCGACGCATGTAAACTCCGGTCACCAGACAAAACTCCTTCGACCCAAATGATAATGTACGTCTAGAAAACCTAAAATATAGGCGTTCAATGGCGTCTGTTTCAGCAGTAGGACGCAACATATGCAGTAACAACCCATAAATAAGAAGTTCGTCTCCGCACTGATTTGGTAGGTCCAACAAGTAACCAAAGCTAGTTTTTGAAAACAGATCGCGCACGGGTCCGTTCAAGCGATTAAAAACTTTATGCAATTTATGGCATGAAGCTTTGACAGATAAGTGACACATCATTGATTTGTTTGGAAGCTACAAAATTAAATAAACATTAAGGTTAAATAAAGTTTTATAAAACTAAAAAAACTGATAAACAATTAGAGAAAACACACAATATAAGACTTAATCATTTCATGTATTCTATTACTTTGTATAAGATACCAAAGGAAATTAATTGACTACATTTTTTTTTTGTATTTTCTATACTACTAGTATACCAAATTTAGCCTTGTACTTTCAAAATGGTATGACAGTAACATATTTTATAACAAACCCGAAAGTAGCAAAACACAATGTTATTTTATCAATACAGTATACTTCAAAGTATATACAAATTATAAACATAAAAACATTTTCAAATCAATAGTACATTGCTACTGTATGCTATAATTGAGACATAGAAAATAACATCATTTTAAACAACATGCAAACATTGAATCCTAACATACATACAAGGGGATACAATCCTTAAAAATACATTTAAAAATAACTTTCTTTTGAAAAATAATGAAAAAAATATATATAAAAACATAGGTTTTAGGAAACCTATGTTTTTTTTCCCAACAAAAAATCATAAATTACATAAAAGGGGATACATATGTTTATTAGTTATTAAGAAAAAAAAAAAATAACGAAACCTTAGGTTTTCAGGAAACCTACGGTGTACAAGTGTTTACTGCACAAACTGTGCAGTAAATGCTTGTACACCGTAGGTTTCCAAAAAACATATGGTTTCGTTTTTGTTAAAAAAAAATTATACGACTACAAAACTAACAAGATTCCGATCCCATTGAATTGATTAAAAAAAAAAACGAAAAAAAAAACAAATTTCCGTACGGTTCATACGAAAGTGTAGGTGTACAAGTCGACAATACACAATATGTGCATTGGGCACTTGTACACCGTAGGTTTCGTATGAAACCTATGGTTTTATATTTTTTTTTCCGTTTTTTTTTTTTTTTTTTTTTTTTTTTTTTTTTTTTTTTTTTTTAAATTTAACCACATATATAAAACCTACTCTTAATCAAAGACGGTAAAATTTTAATGAAAAGTAGACAAACCTGGTTGTTCTTCGGGTGCTCCATTGAAAGAAAAAAGTAGCCTAACCAAAGAAAATAAAAGCCAAAATGACCTAATATGAAAAAATTTATATTATATGCTTTGGGTTAATGGGCCACGAAAAGGTAAACGAGCCCATGAAACAGTAGCCCATTTGTACAAAATAGTAGTTTTCTCAATAAAAAATTACTCAACGGCGTTGACCGTAGTCAACCCTAAGTTGACTACGATTTTGTGGGCTATTTTTGGTTAAGTGGTATTTTTTAGCTATTTTTTGATAAATAATTAAGAAAAATGCTAGATTAGTAATTTTCCCTTATTATATAATGTTGCTTTTTATTATCACTATTTTATTTGCTTTTATTAAAAAATATATAACAAATAATGTTATTCATATTAATTCAAATTTATTAAATTTATTATGAGTGAAATCGAGAAAACCTTGAAACCATTCGCGTGGTGCTTTCTTAAGGCCATATAGACTTTTTTTTTTTTTTTTTAAGCAGAAAACATGTGATAGACAAAATGGTCTATGAAACCTAGCGGTCATTGGCAGAGTTAGATGGGCGTTGGGATACTATAGTATCTCTAAAAAATTTGTACCTTCAACTAAAGAGATTATAACATGTTTTTTAATATCCAATATTAGTTAAGTACATATAATATATTGACAATGTTTGTACCCCTTATGAAAATTTCTGGTTCCACCACTGCGGGCGGTAACAATAAGGGTTAGGTGAGATTCGACAAGGAGATAGAGATGAGAGAGGGATCTATTATTAGAGAGATAGAGAGAGCTAGCGAATCATGATGATTTGTTATAGGATACCATGTTAGAATTGAAATTAGGTGTTGTGGAAAGATGTGGCTCCAAATGTAACAGCCGGATTTTATCAGGTATCTTGTTTATTGTATTTTGTTGGTTTGTGAGGGGGACTCGGCGAGTTGGAGCTCAAACTCGCCGAGTAGGGACGCGGATTTGGACGCAGGATCGCGCCTGGACTCGACGAGTCCAGGATATGGACTCGGCGAGTCAGCGCTGTGTAATGAAACCCTAATTTCTCGGGTTTGAGACTTATTTAAAGGGCCTAATGGCCGTCATTTGTGCTCACCAGCCCCTTGAGTGAACCCTAATCGAGTGTGAGCATTTGGAGCTAAGTAGGAGGCCATTATTGACCTTCGAGGTGCCATTGTTGCGAGGAAGGAGAAGAGCTAGCCAAGGGAAAGCAAGAAGGAGCCACTTCTGTGGGTTTGGAGTCCAGAGCATCACTTTTGTGGTAATAAATCCGAGTTACCTTCTTGTTTGTTGTTGTTTATCTAGATTTAGGGTTTGTTGAACCCTTTTATGGCAAGATTTAGTGTCCTTTTGGTCCCTTATGAGGTTGGAACCATAGATCTGGACCCTTAGAGGTCCAGAGTGTCCCTTTACCCAAGCTTTTTGGGAATCAATGGAGGCTTTGGATTGGAATCCTCATGCCTTAGGTCAAAAACTCCATTATTGAGCTATAGGGTGTGTTATGAGCACCAAGATAGGAGCTTTACGTGATGAATCAGTCGAGGGAGGCCAGATCTATAGTTTTTGGAAGCAGATCTGACCTTAGAAGCGAGTTGGAGTGGTTGCATGGCATGGACTCGCCGAGTCTGTTCATCCGACTCGGCGAGTAGCTTGAAGATTGCCTTGGGACTGTTCAGCGAGTGGTCCAATCGAGTCATGGGTAGACTCAGTGAGTCAGGGTGAGTTGGAAAGGGATGACGAGTGGACTGAGTCAAACTTCGACTCGCCGAGTTGTCCTTGAGACTCGGCGAGTTGAGTCGGGGTGGCCCCGCGATTCATTCTGGTGAAACTCGTCGAGTAAGGGGGGTGGGGGATACTCGACGTGTAGTAAGAGGATTTCAGAGGGTTGGTGAAAACGTCTAGACTCGCCGAGTCGCCATGGTACTCGCCAAGTCCGGTCAGAGTTGACCGTTGACCTGAGTTGACCTGTGTTGACTTCTTATAGATAGTCAACCTTAGAGATATAAAGTGTTAATTAGAAACATATAATGTTATAGGAGGATTAGAGCTCGGAGGATCGAGCACGAGGGATTTCCAGGATTCGTGAGATACCGAGATACGCGAGGTGAGTCTTCTCACAATACTATATTACCTTGAGTAGGTAACCAGAGTTATGTGATAGAGTATTTGTATGCTATGTATGTTATGTGTTGTACTGCATTATTTCTATGTGATTTATGTAGTGCATGTTTATCAGAGCTAGAACCTGAGGGTTCACAGAGTTTGGGTGCACGGACCCACAGAGTTATAGCCTCGAGTGGCTAATATGTGTTATATGTGGTATTATGGGGAACTCACTAAGCTTTATGCTTACAGTGATTGATGTTATTGTTTCACGTACTAGTGATGACCGCGGGAAGGCGCCGGCTTGATCCGTACACACACACTTGGAGTTTTTACATTGTGATCTTGGGATTTTGTATTAATCTATATTGGATAATTAATATGGTTGTTTGATGAATATTAATCGAATTATGTTTTTATAAAAAAATCGAAAAATTTGTTTTGAAATTTACGGTGTTACAATTTGGTATCAGAGCCTTGGTTTGAGGGTTCGGGTACACCTTCGGGAGTATTTGAACTCAAACTAGGAATTGGAAAGATATTTTCAAAAGAAAACCTAACTTTTCTAAGAGTAAAAGATTCTTGAAAAAGAAACAAATTTCAGGAAGAAACGTGTGTACGATCAGTCAGCGCCCGAACGGTGGAATTCCCAAAATACCTTTATATTACGTGATATTAATATTGATATGATGTATCTTCATGCTAGAGTAGGCTAGGTATTGCTAATAGGACTAGAGTGGCCTGATTTGTGATGCCTTAGCCTAGGAGGGGTGAGCTGCTATGAGATGCTGAGAGTGAGTAGGTAGCAAGGCAAGGGGTTTATGAGAGAT